AAAAAAAATTTTTAAATATTAAAAAAAATTAAATAAAAAAAAATTGTAATTTATGACTGTGATGTATTCGTATGTGAATTTTAATGATGAATTTGAATTATGAAAAAACTGTTTGCTCAGCACTTGTTTCACGCCGTGTATTCAAAATTTCGAGCGCTTAATGATGCCTAAAAATTAATTTTTAAGATTTAATTTACGAAGTAAGTGGTTTTCGTTTCAAATAAACTTTTTAGCTAAATCTAATCTGGTATAAAAGCATATCTTATGAGTTAACTCTTAAATTAATTTTAATTAATTTTTCTATGCTTTTTAAACACTTCAAGGACATCAGATAAACCTTGCTTTTCATAAACGAATTAAAAAAGTAATAAAAAATAAAAATTCATAAAATCCATTTAAAATAAGGAAAATCGAAATGAATTTGGTTGACAAAAGCGACAGTCAAAATACTCAAAACAATATAATAACATAGAAAATAAGAAACCCTTAAACAGTTGTAAAGCAAACTTTTTTTTTTTTAAATAAAAATATGTAACAAGAAATATTATAATTTGACTTACGACTTTGATTTTCGCCTGAATCTCACGCAATTTCCGTCTGGCCAGCACCTGTATGTGCGAGCTGACTTGCTTTCGTGTTCTCGTCTTGCCTGTGCGTAGCTTGATATAACGAGCGATGAGTTCATTTCGGCCTGCAAAACGGAAGAAAGCGAAAAACGTGAAAAACTACTGAGGAAATTGTGCGAGGAAAAATTGAATACATAATGAGCGACATGAATGAAATAAATTACAGGAAATTAACTATGAAATTCAGAAGAAATCAGTACACTCTGTACGCGTATTCGCCATGTGAAATAAATCTTAATAAGAATAAGAAGTATGCGAGAGGGATTCCACTGTAGGCTGGAGTACTTGTTGTGCAAAGATTTGATTATTGTATACGGCTTGCGGCTTGATTCTAAATCGACTGCTAGCTATTGTCACAGATATACACACTATACGTATATTACGTTAGTACTATATACGAGTATAAATTGCAATAGTCAGTATTCGTTTATTAAATATTTGCTCAACTTAATTTGCTAAATAATTTATTTATTTCAGTAGCTTAATGATGGCAATAGAGTTTTTTCTACTTTTTTATAGCTTCCTCTTTAATAAGTGAGTACGTTTAAGCCCTTTGGAGTTGTTGGTGGGTATCTAAAACTTAAGTTAGTATATTTTTGCTAATCCAGTGTTTTTTGGTACATTCCATAGTAAAATGAAATTAATGTCAATGACAGTGACCTCGCAAATTATGTGCGTTTAATAATGTTGGTTTTCTGTAATTAGTTTTATGGGAAAAAATTAGCTGTTGGTTTCATTAAATTAATTTTATGTGTTTATTAGACTGACAAGTCTTCAATGCCTGATTTAACGTGCTCGGAAAGATAAAAGTAATGCTAAAAGTATTTCTATATATATATAGAGTGATCCACTTCGAGCTTCCCTATTTTTGTAAAGAAAAAACACAAAAACTTCAAATTTAATGCGGAATGTTGATTATCATTCGAAAGAAAATTTTTTTGGCATTTACTTTTGGAAGACTACTTCTTTCAAATATCTGCGGAGACTAAGTCTCAGATGGTCCATCTGTTGAGTCCAATTTTCAATGGATCGTTCGAGCATTTCAACTCTAATACCGGAATCGAAGCGGTACTATCCGCATGGACTTTTGGCTTTTCACATCCTCACAGAAAAGAGTCTAACGGTGTGATATCACACAATCTTTGTGGCCAATCAATCGACCCAAAACGTAAAATGATCTGCTCACCGAAGTGTTCTCTCAATAAATACATTGGTTGATGAGATGTGTGAGTTGCGTCGTCTTCTTGAAACTAAATGTCCACAAGTTTTCGTTTCAGGCATCACATAATCGGTTATCATGGCGTGGTAAAAGTCGCCATTGACGGTTACGTTCTCAACTGCTGGATTTTGAAGAAATATGGATCGATGATTCCACTGACCCAAAAATCACACCAAACCGTTGTTTTTTTCTAGATGACATAGCAGCTCTTGAATCTCTTTCGGTTGCTCTTCGGTTGCTATGCATCAATTTTGTTTGGTTACATACCCACTGAGCCAGAACTGAACCTCATCGCTGAAAAAAATTTGATTCGAAAATTTCGGATCTTCTTGGAGCTTTTTAAGAGCCCATATAGCAAAGCTATATCACTTTGGATTGATACCAAGGTTTCTAAGTGCGAAAGTTCCAAACTGGTCGAACGGACCTGAAACTTTAAACTTGTTTTTTTGAAACTTTTTTTTTCAAAACTATACTTTTTTCTCAGGTTCCAAAAGTTCCAAACTGGTCAGATGAAACTGAACTATTAAACTAGTTTCTCTCGAAACGGTCTTTTTCAAAACGATACGAATGTTTCCTCAAGTTCCATTGCACCGATTTCCTTGAAAATTTTAAAGTTTTCTTTACAGACTTGACTTCGTCTGGGACTATCCATATCTGGATTAATTTCAAGCTTTACTATATTTTTTTTTGAATTCGAATAACTTTAGTTAAACATTTCCCTAAATAACGGCATCACTTGCACTTTATTCGCTTCGCGTATTTGCGAACTGAATTTGACACCGCGCACTTGCCGCTAAGTCACGCCCTCCAACCCTAAACAGAAATCGCATTTAATTTGGTATATATGTACATATATACGTATATATGAAGATATGAAAACATCAGCAGCAAATATAAATTTAATCAAAATTAATTTGCACCAACAAAGAGACAAAGTGAAGCGCAAACACTCCGGGAGGTGAGGACTCGGCGCTTTGCGTAAACGAAAATATTCATAGCTCGCAATATTACACAATTCACTAACGACCAGCAGCAGCAGCAGCAGCAACAACAATAGCAACAAGCGAGTAGTGGAGCAACAAGGCGCGCTCATATAATAATAAATAAAATAATGACAGAAGACAGACAGACGGAGCGGCACAGGAACAGACATAGAGAGCGACACAGCGGCAGCCAGGCAGGGACACAAACGAAAATACAACAACAATGCGCTGTGGTGAACACTATGCTTGCGTCCCCTTTTATTTTACGCCCTTTACTGCTTTGCTTTGGTCGCCGTCACTGCTTGCCACTTGCCACTTGCCAACTGCTGTTGTCCTTCAATGGCCGCCTTCGTCCTGTCACCTCAGCACGCTGCTTGGGCGCACAGCGCCCTTCAATTCTATTGTTTTCACTATAATTTTCTATGTTTTCGCAAAAGTTCAGTTCAAGTTTGCTGTTGTTGTTGTTGTTGTGGCACTTTGCTTCTTCGCCGTTGAAGCTCCCATTCATTGTCTTCTGTTTGCTGCTGTTAATGCTTCGCTGTGAATGCTGTCTGAACTCTTGCGCTGCGCGTACAACACTTCCTCTCCCCCCCTCAGCAAACAAAGTTGCGCGTTGACTTGCCTTAACCAGGCTTCAGCGCCCTTCTCGACTAATGCGTTCTTCATGCGTCGGCTCTGACCTCTGCGTACGTCTTCCACATTGTCTGTTTTGGTTGTGACGTTGGCGTCACCGTCGTCGTTCACTAATTGCACATTCTTGGCATAGTTTCACTTCTAACCGAATAAAATTATTTTCATTCACTCAACGCAAAGCGTACTACGCTCCCTTCAACGCGCATTTGATTCCTACACCAGTTTGGTATATGGATTTATGTGTTTGTGTGCGTCTGTCTTGCAGAAACTTCCTCGCTTTTCATTGTTTTCCAACGCGCCCAAATCCCCAACTTTACCCTTTTGAGTTCGGATCACTTTGGCCTTCACCAACATTTGTTGCTTTGTATTCCTTAGCATCCGCCATGAGCCTTTGCCGTCGCCAACTTAACTTAATATCAACTTGGCTGAGGAAAATAGCAAGAAAAATGCACAATTGTTAGAGTCAACAGCGCAGGGTGTGGATATCTAGAGTTTGGACTTTCTAGGTGTTTGGCTTCAGCGTTTTTTCCCCCACTGCTATTTGTGTGTGAGTTCGTAACTGCTGAAACACGCTTGCGACTCGTCCGCGCATTGAGTGCAGCTTTGGCCCCGCCGACCTTTGCAGCGAGTAAAGAGTCTCACTAACTTCACTTTTCTTTCAATAACTCGCAAAAGTTCACTGGCTTCCTTTTAGTTTTGCACTATTTCGTTTTTGGTTGACAGATTGTTCGATAAAAGCGTTATAGATAGTAGTTTTCTATGTCTTGATTGTTTTTGTAATAGAAGTTAACAACAAGCGTATGAAGTTTAAGGAGTTAGGCTGCAAGTACTTTTATCTACTTCGAAAATCTTGTTTTCATGCGATTTTCAAAATTAGTTTTTTTATTATTTGCCTTAGAGGTTTTAAATTGCCAAAAACCGTTTAAGGAAGTTTAATTTGTTGTTGTAATATTAAGGCCGGTGAGTTAAGTACTCTTAAAGGTTTGAAGCGGTTTAAAAGCCTATTTTTTGTTTGATGTTGCGGAGTGTCTGGGATTGGTTTAACAAGGTTCCAAATCTTTATTTATTTAACTCTTTCAGCCGATTACGGAATATTTACTCTCTTCTTATATGTCGTTACCTCTTGTCTATTTGGTTCAGGGGCCAACATAACATATCTTTAAAGTTATCGCCTTTGCGAAGCACAAAATGCCAACGGACTCTAAGTTTTTGGTTTATCCATTTTGTTTGAAGAACCAACGTCTTCTCTGTTTCAAAATCAAAGGTTCTTTTTACTGATGTAGCAGTTCACTTTTGTTTTTAGACAAAAACCAAATCTGACAAACATAGTCAAGAAGGTTTAAAAAATCTTTCCAAGGAGTGATGAATAAAGTTTGTTAAGATATTTCCAAATAAAATGATGAAGAAGATCGTTGGATGATGATGTATTGTGAGGGCCTTCCAACGTTTGGCCTAAGAAAAGCCTTTTTTTTTAATTTCTTTTTGCATTTATTATTGTCTCCATAGAAAGTTGTGCAACACTCAATAACCTCGAAGACTTCCACGTTCCGATAGAAAATCTAAGTACCGATAGGATACTTTTGAAAAAAACCTTCGTCGGCACCATTTCCCTATGTCATCTAGAATTCTTACTTTAGTGTATTTTACCACTATGTGATTATATGATGACAGTAGCTCTTGCGAAATCATCCAAGTTGTTGGGGGGCATCTACCAGGTTTTGTAAGAACGCCGCCCTTTTGCCAATTTTTGAGGTTTTTTCACCGGATAGGACAGTATATCCTAGCAGATAATTTTTTATTTATTTTTTAGCCACGGAGAAGGCCTGAATCATTACAGCTGTGGTGGACCGTGGTTTATCAGACATCGCGTGTTACTCGAAAAATATTTTTAATTTTTTTCAACAATTATAATGTGTATTCTTAAATCTATAAATACGCAAAAAAAAAAAAATAATAATTTGAATTTGAATTAGTTTTCTTTATTCTCGAAAATTTGGTTTTAGGTTGTCACCTAGCCTGTTTGGGGGTTACATGTATTTCGCGACTACAAAAAATCAATTTTTTATGATGTTGCTTAATTCCATAACATCTCTAGAACGTTGTCCTAACTGCTCAAGACAATCCAACTAATCGTTTCGGAGATACGGTCTAAAAGAGTCTCGAGCTGGAGCTCATCTAAACTATAACCACTTAAAACTTTAAACGCGTTTTTCTAGCAACTGTCTTCTGA